TTCTTTATTTTTTTCTTGTTCTTATTTACCAAATATCATTAAGTTTGGGCTGTTCTCTGTTACTCTCCTACAGGATGAGGTGGATATTGCAGGTTTTAAAGTTGTCTTTGTCACTGGGGGAACGGGAAATGTGATTGCTGTAATTTGCTGGGATTGGGGCAATACATCCCTTCCAGTGCCTGACCACCCTTTCCAGGGAGAAATTCCTCCTGAAAAACGTGGGCATCCTCATGGCCTGGCCTTGAGGTCCCCTGGACACACCAAGCCCCTCTCCTGCCTCTTCCTGCAGCTGCTCTTGCCACTGCTGGGGGATGGATGTGAGCTGGGAGGGGGTTCCAGGCAGGTCCTCAGATTTCCAAGCAGCCTGGTTTCTAAAGGCAAAATAAGCCTGTGATTTTTTTCCAGAGGAGGAATTACACCCAATCCTGCTGCTCCCCAATGAGCAGAACATCCCCAGAGTGCTCTGAAAATCCCAGTCTCTCAGATATGTGTGTGTGTGTATATATATATACATATATGTGTGTGTGTGTGTATCTGTGTATATTTAGTGCATTAGTCACATCTTAAGCTATAAAAACCGAAATTTCAGCTGGCTGCTTCCTCTGTAAACATATGTTCTCCTTGTAACTCCAACTTGGCTTTCCTAGCTTTGGGTTCTTCCTCAGCACCGTGTGCAGTCGGTGCAGATAGAACAGGAATCACCACGATCCTGCCAAATCCCAGCGTTTAAAATAATGGGTTCAGGCTCCCCAGATCCCCTGACTGGCTTAAAAATAATAAGATTAGGTGAAAACAGCGAGCACAGTGGTTCAGTTGGTGGGAGTCCTGTGGCTCCTGCCTTTCTCCAGCGTGGGAATCAGGGGTGGGATTGGGCTTGGTTGGGGGACTTTAAATGAAGCTGTGGCTGATCTCTCTGAAGGACCTGGGAATTTTAAGCAGGGCCATCACAAGGCACGGGATGAAAGCACTGGAGTTTGTGGCACAGTGGGAATACAGTCCCAGCATTTTTTTTGCTGTGTTTATTGCAGAAATATCTGTAGAATTCGAGGGAGGGAGGGGAGAGATCATCTGCCTGAAAATGGGGAGGAGCAGAGTGGCTGAACTGCCTGGGGAAGGGATTGTCTGTGTTCTGGGATGTCTGAGCCTGACCTGCACCCACATCACTGGAGCCTTCTGGGCTTTATTTGGAGTGGGGAAGTGACTGATGGAGAGGGAACAAGGCACAGTCCAGGGTTGAAGCCTGGCAGCCTGGTCTGTACTGAGGCAGCTTAAAAAGAGATATCGAGAAGTGACCTTTCCAGCAAGACAGGCAGTTTATTTTCCTTTCGTTTTTCTATTTAAGAGAAATTTTAAGTTTTAAATAACGATTTTGACCTGCAGCCCAGAAAATCCCCTTACAGATGTGTAAGGATTTTACAATGAGGGTGGGGAGGCCCTGGCATGGGTTTCCCAGAGAAGCTGTGGCTGCCCCATCCCTGGAAGTGTCCAAGGCCAGGTTGGACAGGGCTTGGATCAGCCTGGGATAGTGGAAGGTGCCCTGTCCATGGCAAGGGGTGGAAGGAGATGAGCTTTAAAGGTTCCTTCCAACCCACACTATTTTATGATGTGAAAGTCTGCTAGAAACAGGAATTCTCCACGTTGTTTTGCTGACTAAAATGTGTGAAATTCCTCCAACACACCCTTGAATTCCCATCTCTCTTTTTAAACCAAATCAAGGCCTCACAAGATAAACTGGCACAGCAGAGGAAAGGAGAGGTCTTGCCTGTGCTGAGGCATCTTCTGGCAACCAGAGCTCTTCATCTTCAAGCCACTGGTCTTTGCCTGGAGGTGATTTCAGTAAAACCCAGTGGAAATGGGGAAATGATGGGGAAATGATGAAAAGCATCAGCCTCAGGAGAGCATCAGCATCATCCATTGCATTTTGGGACGGAGCCTGGTTTCTGTGCTGCCACTGGGTTAAACTCAGGACTACATTTCAGTCTGAGGGCCGGTGCTGACCCCACAACGAGGTGCTGTGAGCCAGGAAAGCCCCTCGGGGCTCTGCTCCTTCCCAAAGGGCACCTGGGGAACTGGAGCTTGGCCCAGTTACGCTGGAGATGTCGTTTCCCTGGAATTTGTGCCGGAGGGAGCGATGTGAAGCCAACCCTCCCTCCGCAGTCCCCTCTGCCTCCGGCGCTTGGTCTGGATCTCCCCGTCGCGTCTTTCCCCGTTGGAAGCGAGTTGGGAAGTCGCTGCTGGTAAACTGGGCGGCGCTTGCGTGGCCTCCAGAGCAGCAGTTGCCATGGTGACTCCTCCGAAATTCCCGGTTTTGCACAGTCACGGTTTCCGCGGATCCGCTGGGGAGGGAGGAGCGGGAGGATCCCGGGAGGATCCCGGCAGGGTCCCGGTGCCAGCGGCACATGAGCCAGGGCTGCTGGGGCTGCGAGCAGAGCCCCTGGGGCTGAGTTTGGTGGGACCATCCCTCACCTTCCCGGGCCTCCTGGTTGTGAAACAGCTGGACAAGCTGTGTGGGAACATCCACAGGGCTTCTGTGCCGGGGGACTTCTGTCTCCAGCCACATCCTTGGGGTTTGTGCTGGTGTTGAGCTGCTCTCGGACTTTTGTCACCTTTTCTTCTGTTCTCTCCTCTGAGTGTTTTCCCATTAAACCAGAGTGGGGCTTTTATTCCATGATGGACATTCCAAGCTGGCCAAGGCTCTGTGGGAAGGATGCTGGGAACCGTAATCCCACCCTGCCAGGCAGCATCACCTCCTGCTGCCCTGCCTTGGGGCTGGGTGGCTTTGGGGGGTCTGGAAAAGCTGCCAGTCAGGGGTTCAGTCCCAGCTTTTGGGGTGAGGAAGGGGCAGTGAACTGAAATTCCCTTGGCCGTGGGAGCGCCGGCGGGAGGGAGGATTAGTCCAGTTGGGGTAATCCCGCTTTCCAATTAGGGATTTCACTGTCATTAATCTGATGGGAAAATAAATAGGGCAGGGGCTTAAAGCCTTTGGGGGAGCCAGAGGTGCAAGAGGAGAAGGTGAGTTGGAGGGGCTGAGCAGGCCGGGACATCTCAGCTCAGAGCCCTCCAGCACATCCCATCGGGAAGGGATTGGGAATGACAGGACAGGAGCATCCCCAGGAACACTGAACCTCTGAGCAGGGGCTTCCTTCTCCAGTCTGTTCTCCAGCCAAAGCAAAACTGTTCCCTTCAGTGGGTTTCCTTCCACCTTTTCAACCTTTCCTTCAAAGGCAGCACAAGTTTGCTTTTGTCTCTTTTTTTCCACCCCAAGTTTGCTTTTGTCTCTTTTCCCACTCGTGGCTGTGCCTGACCCTGCTGACAACACTGGCAGCCTCTAAACATCTGTGACCACGATGGCACAGCCTTTCTTTTTCTCGTGGAAAAATCAAACTCTTCTGGCACCCTAAAAGACACCAAACTCTGGTGTGAAATGGGCTGGGGACAGGAGGGGCTCTGCCTGCCTTTAAGGAGTCAGGGCTCTGGTTTGGACTCCAGTGACAGTTCTCCTCGTGCAGGTGATGGTTTCACCATAAAAAGCACAATTAGATCATTTAGAAGACTAAAAGGTAAAGTTTTTTTGAGATCTGTTGAGCAGAGCACCTGAACAAAGGTCTGGGGTAGCTCAGCAGAGCCTTTTAGCAGTTCAAAATTCACATGCTCTTACTTTGATTACTTAAAGGAAAAAAACCAAACAAACACATCTACAAGTATAATAAGTGAAATGAATGCAACTGCAGGTTCTCTGGGAATGATACTGGAGCCCTGGGAATAGCACAGGAGCCCTGTTTACAGGGAGTTTCACGTGGATCCCATCAGACAATGCAAATATTGTGAGTAGGATGTGGCCGTGGTTGGGCTTTGTTTGGGTCTGATTCGGGCTGTGTCCTCTATGGGGCAGGATTGTCACTCTGCTTCTAGTTAGGCAAGAGGGAAGGGGATCCAACCAGCCCCTGAAGATGTCAAAACTGAGGTTAGAGTCATTTAAGGGAGGGAGAAATTAAACCAAGGTTGGTATTTCAGTGGGGCACAAGTCCTTGGGGCTGTGGGCAGGAGCTTCTCCTGCTCCACTGACCTGGGGGTTTATTTCAGTTCTTTATCTGATTTCATGCATTTCCCTTTTAGACAAGTGGGTTTCCAAGCCTGGCATGTTTGGTTCCCAGCAAGGTGTTCCCAACTCTGGCTTTTCAAATTGAAGCCCCCTCTCAAACAGGAATTGGGATGGGATCAGGTTTTAGGGAAGCTACGAGACCTGACCCTGCTGATTTCTCTTTTTCCTTCTCATCTGGATAAATGACAGTGAGTGCAAAAGTAGTTTGATCTGCAGCCCTGCACTTAATCTTATGCTGCAATAAATCTTGTGCTGAACTGATAAAATACTTCTAAAAGCAGCAAGGATAAATATGGTGGGGTTTTTTTGTTGAGGTTTCCAAAGCAGAATTGCTGTTATCAGGAATAAGACAATGTCTGTGCCCTTCTCTCTCACATAGGTGTGTGTGTTTGGAAGCAAAAAGATTTATTCATAGCCAGATGTTTCCAATTATTTTCCTAAAACAGTTCCCTCATTCATGCTCAATTTGTGAAACTCCTGTTCAGTCCACCCAAATCTTTTTTTTTTTAATGATTTTTATTAGTCCTCCCAGCAGCAGGAACCAGCAGCTCTGGGGCTATTTCACCCTCCTGCAAATCACCACTTGGATATCAGCTTGGATACTATTACTGTTAGCTGAGGGCTGGTGGGTCCTGGTTTACATCCTGGAGCAAGGAATGGGGTACAGGCTGGGTCCTGGTGGTTGGTGGTGCCTTTGTTTGCTCTCTTTACCTTAACAGGGAAGGATTTCATGCTGGAGGCCGTTTGGGGTGATCCACTGCTCAGACTGGGAGATCTGGAGGTGGGAGATGTCCCGGGAGAAGGGTCTGTGATGGGAGAAGGGGTTTTGGTGCGTTCTTTGCCTCAGCCTCCCCCCTCCCAAAGCCTGTGCTGTCCTTAACCCCGCTCCCAGGTGGTTTGAGCACGTCAGCATGCTGGTGATCCTGCTGAACTGCGTCACCCTGGGCATGTTCCAGCCCTGCGAGGACGTGGAGTGCCAGTCGGAGCGCTGCACCATCCTGGAGGTGAGGAGCCCACCCTGCCCTGTGTGCCTGGGAGGGGTGCAGTGGGGCAGGGTAGACCCCTATCTTGTCCCTTTTTCCCCAGAATCCAGCTATTGGATGGTTTTTCCAATAAGCCACACTTCCTCATGCAGAGAAACCTGCTGCCCTGGCCTTGGGTGAGACCCAGAGGCTGACTGGGACTTGATCCAGCAAGATCCTTTCACTGCACGCTTAATAAGGGAAGGGGGGCTCCAAAGTGGGCAGCCAGCTCCCACTGGGATTGTTAAACACTATTTAATTACAAAATTCATGGCTGCCCCATCCCTGGAAGTGCCCAAGGCCAGGTTGGACAGGGCTTGGAGCAACCTGGGATAGTCAAAGGTGTCCCTGCCCACAGCAGGGGGTGGAACGAGATGAGCTTTAAAAAAGTGCCTTCAAACCCAACCTATTCTGGGATTCTGTGGCCAGTTCCATGGGGAATCCCCCCTTTGCAGTCCATCAGTTCCACCCCTTGGATTTGTGCAGTCTGGCCTGTGCCTTGTGGCACCGGCGACTTTGCCGCTTCATCCCCAAATTCAGGAACGACAAAGCCCGGGATGCGCCTGTGCCTGCTCTGCTGCACAGCAGGGCCCCCCAGCTGAAGTTCAGCAGTGCCAGGTCCCGGGGTAAGTGACCTTTGGGAGATGCATCCCAGCCCCATCGGCCACCCCCGGCACCGCGCCCGTGTCCCCCCCCTCTCCCGGCAGTGTCCTCGCTGCCACACGCCCGCAGGATTGGGTTTGGAAGCACATCCCGGCGGCATCTGCTGTGTGGGCTGCACCTTGGCGCTGGGCTCCCTGCAGCAACTCATTCCTCAGGCTGGGAACCAACCCCCCGTGTTCCCGAAGCGTGACATCAGCCCGGGCAGGGATTGCCGTGTGCTGGTGCAACGAGCTCGGTTCCTTTGAGTCCCACACGGATCTGCTGCTTTGCTTCCCTCTGAGTGTTCCAGCCAGTGAGACCCCTCAGAGAATCCCACAATGGGTTGGGTTGGAAGGGACCTTAAAGATTCCCTTCCACCCCCCTGCCATGGGCAGGGACTCCTTCCATCATCCCAGGTTGCTCCAAGCCCCGTCCAGCCTGGCCATGGAAACTCCTGACAGGTTTTCAGGCAGAAAAGGGTTGTGAGTAAAACCACCATTATCCCTCCCCTTGTCCCAGCTTGCAGGAGGAAGTGGAAGCCAGAACATGGGGTGGAAAAGCCTGAACTTCTTTATGGAGGTGTTTGGATGCCAGTTATTAAATGAACTGAAATAACTCAGCAAAACTTCTGGGGAGCTCTGCAGATCTCCTGGAGATCCTTTAGGCCTTGGAAGGGGCTCTCAGGTCTCCCTGGAGCCTTCTCTTCTCCAGTTGAACCTCCCCAGTTCTCCCAGCCTGGCTCCAGAGCAGAGGGGCTGTGATGTCCATGTACATTTATCAGTAGATAAATAGGAGCTGCTGACACTTCCCAGGCACGGCACTGACCCGGGAGCTACACCCAGGGGTTGCCACCACCCACCAGGCGCAGCAGGTTTTATTTTGGAGCTGGGAGGTGGCACTTTGGTGGCAGTGCTTCACCTGGCAGCCTGTCCCAGGGTCCACATGGCGGGAGCAGCGGGGTCTCTGCTCTCCCTAAGTTACAGCAGAACTGACTGTAACCCTCTTTGTTTCATTTTTTTTTGGTCTCCAGGCTTTTGACGACTTCATTTTCGCTTTCTTTGCGGTGGAGATGGTCATCAAGATGGTGGCCCTGGGGATCTTCGGGCAGAAGTGTTACCTTGGAGACACGTGGAACCGCCTGGACTTCTTCATCGTGATGGCAGGGTCAGTAAAAAAAAACACCTCAGCCTTTTGCTTTTCATGCTGAAAGCAGGAAAACCCCAGTGAGCCAAAACTGCAGGCTGGCCTGGCTGGTTTTCATCGTGTTTCGTGAAGGCTCAAGCCAAGGCAAAGTCTCATCACTCTTATTTTTCGTACCCCACCTTGTAACCACGCCCGTTTTTGGGGTGGGTTATGAGGGTCAGGCAAAGCTGTTGGGTTCTTGTAGCACCTTCCACCTCTGTCACCTCTGCCAAATCAAGAACGTGCTGATCTGGCCCTTGTGGTGGCCACAGCATCCCAGTGCTCAGCGTTAGCTGGTGTCTCCAGAAGGGGTGGAAAAAGCACAGGGCAGCTCAGCCCTGCTCCTGCTGGGACACCCTTAGAGTTCCTTTGTCACTGCTCCTGCTGGGACAACCTTAGAGCGAGGCAGAAATTGGCCAAACGAGGAGAACTGCACCCAAAAACCTGCTTCAGGAAGTTGAAATCCCAGTGGAAGGAGCTGGCCAGAATTTAACCCAAATCACAAGTACAGGCAAATGCCTCCTGTAAACTCCTCTTGGTTTGCAGTTGAACACCATCTCCCACAGCTGCTTGTTTGTGCAGGATGTGTTAACAAACAGATACAAGGAAGATCCTGTTGCTTTTGACACCAGTTCCCTCACGCCCCAGGGAATAACTGAGTGGACTAAAAGCTTGGCAAGCCTAAAACTTTTTTCCCAATAAATAAATGGGTTTAGAAACCCTGGGCTCTGTTACCTGCTTAGCAGCCCCTGAGAAGGGATATAATCCTTTAATTACTGCCTTAGTCCTGAATTCCTGGGTTTATAATGACCAGCCTGGGGTTAATTAGAACATTCTTGTAATATGTTGGGGCATTTTTCCCCTTCCATTAGTGATGTACCATCTTCCAGTGCACTAATGGAGTTTTGTTTTGCTCCATGTTATTTGTCTGGAATACAATTAGGAACGGCCTGAGCAGTTTGAATAAAACATGAGCTCTTCCTTTGAACCCCTGTGTGGTTCCAGCCCAGGAAGGAACATCAGGGACAGCGAAAGAACCAGTTAATTATTTTTTCCTGCCAAAGCTGCTGCGGTGTTTAAGCTGCTGTTTAAGTGGGGAGGGCAGAGCGAGGCTGTGGGAGACGGGAGAACTCGGGGGCAGAACTTTGCCACCCGTGACCAACGTGTGGACTGTGCCTGAGGGGTGAGCAGATCATCACACAGGTCACCCCAGCACCAGGAGGATGACACAGAGGCAGGGTTGGCACCAGAGAGAGCGAGCTTTGCCCTCGTAGCACCCGGGATGAGGGGGAAAGTGAATCACTTGGGTGGTTTTCCAGGGCTTTTCCCCACCCTCCACGGCTGGAATGAGTTTCAGAAGGATGAAAGCAGCAGAAGCACCGGGAGACCCCACAGGGAAGCCCTGCTGGCATTACTCAGAGGAAAAACCCCTTCTCTGGCCAATCCTGGGTCATCTCCAGATGACTTTGGTTATCTTGTGTTTTTGGATATTATTTCCCATCTGTCAGAGGAGAGGCTGGACTGGGAGCTGAGCTGGCTGGTAGCACTGGTGGAGGACAAGGAGTTGCTGTGCAATGCCTGGGGTTCACCTCTCCCACCAACACCCTTCGACCCAGTGTCTGCCCCTAAAACTGGAGGTGGTTTTAGCAGGGAAAACGCTGCTGGAATAACAAGAGCCGCTTTTTCCAGCGAGCAGATGGATGTGCTGGAGTTCTGATGAGGCTTTTTCTGACAAGAAGGGAAACAAGTGAGAGGCAGAGCTGCCCTGCTTTGTTTGTCCCGTTCCATCTCCTCAAAGAAGCTGATTTGCCTCACCAGCAACACACCAAAGAGAGCGGAGGGGAAGCAGGGAAACTACAAAATAAACATCTCTCCTGCCTCCAGCAACAGCTTGTGTCTGAAGTTTGTTCCAGCTCCGAAAGCCCTTTCATGTTTTCCTCGCCTGAGAAACGTACCCTGGAAAATTTCAAACCGAGGGGAGCTCCAAGCGGCTCCGTCTGTCCAGCAGCCAAGTTGAAAGCGTTTCCTCAGCATCAGGAATGTTGTTCACAGGGAGCTGAAACCAGAGAGGTTTCTTGTGCATCCAGTCCCTGGAGACATTGCAGGCTCCCAGGATGTGCTTTGGACGTCTTTGAACGCGACAGCTGAAGGGTTGGGAGCTGCTGATGGCAGGAGACAGCCCGTGCCTCCTGTTTTTCAGTGCCCAGAGGCTGTAGGGAATCACCTACCGAGTGCCAGTCTGTCCGAATTTTCCAGCTCCAGCAGGCTTCTGGTGGGTTTTTCCAAGGTATTCTTGGTTTACAGGTGTGATCTGAGACCAGGACCCCAAGCTTGGCCTTGACAAGGAAAACTTTGACCTTTTCATGAAGGTTTCAAATACTTTCTCTGCTTGTAGAAAATCCAGCATGGAATCCATCAAGTGTTTCTGGCTCTTAGGTGGGCAGGATAGACCCCCCTGAGTCTAAATGGAATATCATGGAAATCCAGATATTCAGAAAGTCTGTTTCCTAGGGCAAATCCTGGATTATTCATCTTTTATCAGCCACCCTGAAACTCCAAGGGTCAAGTTAAAGTGAGGCTCCAGGAGCTGGCCCTTTGACATGCTAATTTTGGATGGGCTCTCTGGAGCATTTCCTGCTCCTTTCCCATGCTATAGGAGCTCACAGGCTGTATCAGTTGCACCTGATAAATTGGGAGTGTGCTGCACTGGGGCCAGGCCAGTGAACAGATCCAGGCCCTGGCACTGCTCATTTTGGGAGCTTTAAACCACACTTTGTCTTATCCCTGCAAGGTGTGTTGTGAGCAAGCCCCTGGTGCTGGCCCCAGACCCCTCCGTGCAGGTGTGGACGGGCACTTCCGATGGTGTTCCCACTGTGTGGTCCTTCGTGGGGCACTGGGCTGATTCCCAGTGCTCTGCTCCAGCCTCACAAACACAGGGCAGATTTAAAGCCTGGTTTTGTGCAGTGCTGAGTTTGGAAGCTTTTAGAATAACAGAATGATTGAGGTTGGAAAGGGCCTCCAAGATCGCCAAACCCAGCCCTCAGCCCGTGTCCTCAGCAGGTCCTGCCCATCAGATTTGGCTCAGTTCCTACACACAAAGTGGGTTGGATTTATAAAGACTCACTAACTACTCCAGGAAAAAAAAAATTAATAATCTCTGGAAGGTTATCCCTGAAAACAGCTCGAAATCACCAGAGTCTCTGCAGAGCAAGGTGGGGACAATGGGGCAAAGTCACCTCAGTGTGACACCAACCAGCTCCAGGACAAAGCCAGCAGAGAAGAAACATCAGAACATCCAGATACTCCTAATTAATCAGTGTAGAGCAGGGCAAGGCTTCAAGTACAAAGTGCAAGGCTCCAGCAGCGCAGAGCATGGGCACATGGGCAGCGATGAGCTGGCCCGACACCAAACCTCCTCTGCTGGTGCCCAAAATCCACTCAGCTGTTGCTTTCTGAGGGCACCTAAGGATTTGGGTCTGTCCTGGCTGCAGGAGGCTTCTGTGGAAAATATGCAGCTTCTGAAAGGCCTGGTTGCAGCAGTTCAGCTCCTCTTTGCCTCTGTCCTTCCCTGTCTGTTTGTTTATTTAAAAAAACCAAAACAAAAGCTCTTTCTCCACGGGATCCAACAGCTCACTCACAGGGTTGCTTTTGATGCTGTTCTGTTATTTGAACAGGCGTGGTGAGAGATTTGTGACATATTTACAAGTGTTTCCCCGTAGTCAGACTCATAAATTGTAATTACAGCCATGCTAACTAGCCATAACCCCATTAAAAAAACAACACTACACACATTTGCCACTCATTGCTATAAAAGAGCAAGAGAACTGAGTTCATTTAACGTCCTTCCCAGCCTGGAAGAGAAATGTTTATGGGAGGTGGAGATGAAGCATGAAAAAGAAAATGTTCCTTTAATAATCAAATGGAAATCAAACTACTCCAACGTTGTTTGTCAGCTTGGATGTTCAGCTCTTGTCGTGGTGGGGGGGATAAGCTGGTGTGTAAATACTCCGGGGTGCTGGTAGGGGGGATGTGTCAGGAACATGTTATTGCCTTGGAGGTACTTTAGCTGGGCTCTCAGGCAGCAAGAACTCCAGGCAGCCCCATTCCCAGCACGCCCTGGTCCTGACTGCTCTGCTCTCTCCCCACAGCATGATGGAGTATTCCCTGGATGGACACAACGTCAGCCTGTCCGCCATCCGCACCGTCCGCGTCCTGCGGCCCCTGCGAGCCATCAACAGGGTCCCAAGTGAGTGACACTGAGCCTGGCATTAGTACCCTGCTCTCCTGCTGCTGAGACCAAACTCATTGATTTTAATTTTTAGAGGTCAATTTTTCTCATTATTAGCGTTAGCAAAGGGCAAAGGGAATAAGATTTTATACCCGGGGCCCAAATTTTTGTGGCTGTCCTCCAGCATTTTCCTGACTTCTCTGAGGCAAATAACTCCCTGCTCCTTGTGTAAACTAAATAAAGTTCCTATAAAGAAAGGGGAGAGGTCAGTTCTAAGAAGGATCTTCTTGCCCTGGTGGGTTCATTTTCCCTGCTCAGCGATTTGAGGTCTTTCCATGGCTTTGTGTTCAGGATTAGCAGCGCAGGAGCCTCCGTTGCTGCTAAAATTTGCTGTCATGTAGAACAAAATTGGGTTCATCCACGATAGGAAGTTCAAGTGGCCCCTAAATCCATTTTCAAGTGGCTTCAGCTGCTTGTCTTCTAAATCCAATTTGAAAGACGACCCAACAAGTTGAAATAATTTCCTGCCGGAATCGGTTACTGCTGAGCAACCCTTTGCGAGGTGCTCATTTCATGGAGCTTCCATCAGCTGGCAGCCAAATCCCACTCAAATCAAAATGCAGCAGGATTGTATGGAAATCATAGAGGTCCCTTGCAAAAAAAAAAAAAAAAAGGACATTTCCTGCATTTCCTGTTCTTTTTGGAAGGGCTTCTGAATGGCACAGCCCCACATCCTGCCTGGATTAATTGCCCGTCGTGTCGGCACTTCCAGGGACAGCAAAACAACCTCCCCCAGAAGGGTTTCGGTTCCAGTCTCTCAGAGGAACATGTGAGGGAACAGATGGATGTTTACTCACAGGAGTCTTTGAAGTTTCTCTCTGAACTCCCAATTCTACAGGATTTTTCTTGGGGGGCGGGGAGAGGGGAACAAAAAAAAAATCAACTCAAAATCCGTGACTTCGGCCGTGACATCATCAGTTCAAAACAAGACAAAAAGAGGCTGAAAGGGACCAGGAAACCCCCTCTGGAGCTGTTGTTTTCCTGGGGAGGTTTTGTCCCCGGGGTGTCAGAGCTGCCCCAAAGCTCAGCCCAGGGTTTCCCGGTGGGATTTGGTGGCTGGGCTGGGCTGGAGCAGCGGGACACGGCACGCGCTCGGCGTGGGGGCTCCAGGCTGGGGCCGGGATCAGGCGCCCTCTGAAGTTCTCTAAATCCATGAAACCCTTCCTAGCTCTCCCATGGAGCAGTGGGAGTGTCAAGCTGGGGATTCAGCGTGGGAATGGGAGGATTTGCATGCCTATTCATCCAAATGCCTCCAGGTTCAGGTGAAATTCGGATCTGTGGCCAGCTTTTGATTTTTCTGCCTTAGGACTCTGACTGTGAAGCTTTGAAATGAGCCTTTCAGGCTGTTTCTGCCGCACTTCCCCTGGGATTTTTGTATTTTTTTTCAAAGGACAGGCAATAGAAAATATTCCAAATTTTTATTAATATTCCCTGAGATTGAATCCAGTGAGCTCAGCCCAGGTTTGGGGAGGAGTTGCCTGGTTTGAGGAGCAGCTGGGCTCGCACCACCATCAGTGTCCTGAACCAGTGCCAGGGCAGGATTAGTGTTCTTGGAAATATCTCTGTTCCTGGAGGGCAGATCATCACAGCCCTCACTTGTTTAAGAGCCACCAACTCCATCCACTCTGAACACTGGGAATTTTACTGTTCCAGACTGATACAATCCCGGGTCTGCGTGGAATGGGCAGTGACACCCCTCTATTTTATTGCATTTTTGCTGTTTCTGGTAATAAAAGAGTTACACTTTTAGTCTTTCCTCCATGAGGATGCTCCAGCTTAGTCAAGGAATTACCTTGGATATGCAGCCCATCCCAGCCAGCAGCTCCTGGTCAGCACCATCCATGGCATTCCCAGCACTGGGAACAGCAGTTTTGGCTCAGGGACAGACACGGAGCACAACAAATTCCAGCTGGGTCAGGAGAGATGAGGCTGGTGGTCAGTCACCACCCAGGGAAGCAGGGACCCTGGAGAACTCCCCTGGAGATTTATCCCTGAGATTCCTGGGCGCTTTCCTGGGATGCAGCCAAGCACTCTTAGCTCTTGTGCTTCCAGGCACAATAAAGTCACCCACAGGATTATTTCATTTCGATTCTGTTTGGTAAGAAAAGAAAGAAGAGCCCCAGCCAATAAAAACATCATCTCTATTAGAAATTATTCCTTGGAAATGACTGGAAAAATAGAATTCCTGCAATTTATATTTTTGGCAGGGGCTGTAGTTTGGGTTTTGTTTTTTTTTTTAGCAGTGGTCACCGAGGGTTTTTTTCAAATCCACTTCAGTGCTTTATTTTTATTTTTCTACTAGGTGGTTTCAACCAGGCATCACATGGAATGGGAATGGAAAGGAATCCTGAGCCTTGTTTCAGCCTAAGTGATGCCCGTGCTCTTTTCCCATGGCACACTTGACATTCCCTGAGAGCCCCCTGAGCAGATAAGGAACAGATGGATTCAATCCCGAGAATGGTGCCACGAAACAACCCAAAATACCAAAAGTAGCTGAGCAGAAAAAAAAGTTGTCTGGCACAGGGAGATGAATTTTAACCATTTTTGGATAAAAAAAGAGCGAGGTTATTAATGAGAGTTGGGGGGGGGGGGGGGAGAAAGAAAAGCCCAGCATTGTCTTTCCAGCGGGAATTCAGTGAGTCTTTTCTGCTTTTCCAAAGATAGATTTGCAAGGAAAGCCTGCAGGGCTGTGCTGTGGGATGTGCTCCTGGGGGGGGCTTCGATGACAACAAAAGTTGGGAATAAACACCAGGAATTCAATTCCTCCCCCCCTTTGCCCCCAGCTCTGGGTTTCTCTGTGCTCGGAGCTGAGCATGGTGCTGTTCCCTGCGGTTCCAGGGGATGGAATTTGCCACATCCCTTCCCTGCAGGGTGGCACTGGCACCAGGGCAGCAGGGGGACGGGGTTTGGAGGGTGGCTGGCACAGGGCTGGGCGCCAGGACCAGGCTCCTCCAGAGAGGCATCCACTGCCGGCGCCAGCCGCGGGAAGCTGTGCCAGAGCCAAGGCACAGCTGGGCATGGAGACCTTGGGAGGCTCCTGCCCTGGGTGCAGGGGTCATGACTCACACCTAATTATTTATCAGCACAGACTTCTTGGCCGGGCTGGTCCAGGCTGTGCTGACAGGGTGGTGGCAGCTCCATCCCCGCTTGGCTGCCTTGGATTTCCGCTGGCGAGGAGCGGGATGAAGCGGCGGGACAGGATCCCAGCTCCTGCCAGCCCTGCCCTGGGAAGGGCTGGGATGGAGGGGTTCATCTCTCCTCCCCATCCCACCACCCAGCACCATGGAATCTGCAGGAGAGGCGTTGGGCACGGCCTGGGAGAAGCCGAGGTGTCAAAGCCACTCTCCGTTCCCGTGGGATGGCTGATGGAGAGCAGCGTCCTGGCCAGGGAATAGGGAGGGGACAAGAGGCTCCACGAAGGCAGGCAGCAAAAAGGTGTTTGCAGAGGGGAATTTCAGGGGGATAAAATCTCCCAGCAGCAGCCACGCTGATTTCCTGGGCCGTGAACTCGAGCCCTGCTCCCTGTGGAGCGCTGGGATCCCGAGGCTCAGCTCAGCTCAGCTTTTTTTCTTTAGCATTTCCTTTGTTTCTTGCTCTTTTCATTAATGGCTGGTGGCTGTCTCAGAGGCTCCTTTAGCCTCCATGGGACTGCTGAGCTGTGAGTCGTTATTCCCTTTTTATTCCCGCCTTATCCTTGAGTGTGAAGGTGCCCCGATGAGTGAGGCAGGGCAGCCCCCCAGGTGCCAACCCCATCCCTGCCTCCTTGCCCAGTCAGTGCTGGAAGATGCCAGGGTTTGCTGGGGCTCTGCAGGGTTGACTCATTCCTCGAGTTGGAATATTCAAGGTGGACTGTCATGCCTGGAAATCAGCATTTCCCTGGCAGCAGAGGTGCTGGGGGAGACCAAAGGTTCATGGAGAGGTGTGGGACTGGTGGGAAGGTCCCCCACAGCCTCCACAGGAGGAGGGAAAGAGAGCAGAGCTTTCCTTGGGGGAAGAAACATTTACATCCTGCTTTCCACCCTCAAAAAGTCAAAATTTTCCCTGTTTTGCAGTCCTGTGGCCAGCAAGGAGAGGAGGAAGAGGAGGAACTCCATGGGAGAGGACTTGTCCACATCAGAGGCCCTGTGATCCTCCCACACCAGGCTCTGTGTTGCTTAGGGAACAACTTGTGTGACTCATGAGAGATGTTTGATATGTTTATAAACGCATATTTTGACAGTTTCTCCAGAGGCTGATGGTTCCTGGGGGTGTTTCCCCAGGAAAAGCTGTCTGGCAGCTTTGCCCCTGTCTGTTTGTCCTTGAGTGCCAGCCAAACATCTGCAAACCCCCCTCTTTGGAGGTGTGTGCTGTTTGTTCCCATTGCCTGCTGTGCCTTTTGCCCTCTTTACCTTCCCTTTTCAGCCTTGAGGTTTAGGGAGAAAATACCAACATCCCAGTTTTTTCTCCCCAGGATGCACAACTGAGCTGGGAAAGGTGATTTTTTTTTTTCCCCATTAAGGGCTCTTCTAATCCAGTTTTTTTCCTTCTGCCCACAGGTATGAGAATCCTGGTCACCCTGCTGTTGGATACTCTGCCTATGTTAGGCAACGTCCTCCTCTTGTGCTTCTTTGTCTTCTTCATCTTTGGGATTGTGGGTGTCCAGCTCTGGGCAGGGCTGCTGAGGAACAGGTGTTTCCTAGACAGGAATTTTGCAATGTGAGTACAGCAAAAGAAACTCTCCCCCTTTTTTTTTTTCTTTTTTTCCTTCCTTCCTCTCTCCAGCTGGAGAGAAATCCCGGCAGGTCCAAGCAGGAGCTTTTTTGTCCAGGGAAAGAAAAAAAAATCCACTTGTCAGCAAAGTTACTGAGGGTTTGGAGCTGCACCTGAAGGACAAAGGGGGGGGGGTGGTTGGGATTATCTCTGCCTGAGGAAGCTGAGAACCCTGACTCTGGGAATTTAAGGGTTTAGGTCAGGCAAAGGGATTACAGCTCTGCTAGGATTGCCACCTCTCCCAAGTGGTTCAGGTCTGGGGGGTCACTGAGCACAGCCCAGCCCCTGGCAGGGGGTTGGGAGGTGGGAGATGCTGCTGGAACACACAGATAAGTCCCTGTGGGTGTATTAAGATAAGAAGCTTGATGTGAGAGGCATTAAAAGCATTTGTACAGGGCTCTCAGTGTGGGACAGGCATCAGGGTTGGGCAGCACCTGCTCTTTTCGATGGATTTATGGAATCACTGAGGTTGGAAAAGTCCTCTGAGATTGTCAAGTCCAACCTTAATGAAGCAAACTTGAGTTTTGGTTCTTCCAGACTCAGCAGTTGTGTGGACCAACATCCCTGCCAGGTGTGAGGGAGCTCATAAGGCTTTTACTGCCCTGGTGAGCCTCACCTGGACCCCCCACCTCCCCACCCAGCAACTCCACTTAAGCTCAGCCCGTGGCTCTTAGCCCTGGTTTGGGCTGGGCTGTTGCTGTTCTTCTCTCCAGCTCTTTGATTTTGATGCCTTTGGCTCCTGCCTGAGCTCCCTGGATCTGGTTCATCATTTTCCCTGTCTGGGGCTTCTCCTGGGCCCTGGTGCCAGCCCTGGGCAGACTCTGCTGTGTTCAGGGTCTGCCCAGGGAGGTGCTGCTGGCACTGGGATGGCTCCTGGCCCATCCCATGCCATGGGACACCCTGGCTCTTGCTGCTCCCTCAGCAGGACACTGAGCCTGGGCTGTTCTGCCCCTGCCCCCTCAGGGGTGTCAGGACCCCTTCAAACCCATCAGCACAACGAAAAGAGGAAAACTCAGTGCAGCCTTCCAGCTCCCCCAGGACGGGGAGCTCTGCCTGGGAAAACCCTTTGGAGTGCTCCTGTCTGAGGATGTCAGTGGCTCAGAGGTGAGGAAATGCCTGAGACCAGCTATTTAGGGCAGCTCTAACTCTGTAAGAGAAGATGGAGCCTGTAATTACATCTGTGTGTGTAATCATCTGCTGTCTACAACTCGTATTGTCTGGAAGACAAGCAGAGATTATCCCTGAGCTCTACCCCAGGTCCTGCTCCTGCCTCTCACTGCTCAGTCCTGTGGCTCTCAGCTCTCCAGGCTTTTCCCTGCCCTGCAGACCAGCTCTTGGGGGGCTCTTTTTCATCCCATCAGAGGCGCTGAAAGCCGGAAAATCAACTGAGTGTGTGTTTCTACTCCAACACCTTGATGCTCCAAACTCTCTCCCGCACCCCCAAGAGGTGCTTGCTGGTCACCAAGACCCTCCAGGCTCAGAGTGACCCCTGAGCCGTCACTTAAAAGCCCAGATTGTGGTGTTAAAGCTCTGCTTGGGTGGGCTGGTGCAGTGCTTGGAGCCGTAATTAGCCCCGGGGCGAGCCCCTCCCATCCCTTTGCTCGGGTTTTTAAACGCTGTGTGATTTTTTTCCTGCAAAGTGGAGCTTTTAAAACGAACCACAGGGGGAAAACGTTGGCTAAGTGCAGATATTAAGCAGGCAGTTATGTAATGGCCATTTAGCAGCATCAAAGGCAGCCCAGGATTTTCTTATCAGGGTCTCGCTCCCAGTCAGGGAAGGCAGAGTCAGTCAGGCTCAAGGGCTGGTTCTGAGGAGGTTTTGGGAGGAATCATCTCCTTCTCCCCTTCACCACAGCTCTGAGCTGCTCCCTGGGTCCCTCCAGCAGCAGGCAGTGGGGAATTTGGGGGGCTTGAGTCCTGTTGCTCCATGCCACGTGCTCAGGGATGCTGTGGTTAAAGTTACGGCATTCCAGAGACACCTGGACAAAGGAGGCTGCAGAGCTGGGAGGGGCTGGAGGATGGGTGGGTGGATGGATGGATGGATGGATGGATCAGCCCAGGTTTGGGGCTGAGCACGATGGTCCTGGCTCACATTTTTCTTTACAGCCCCAGAAAGAGAAGACCTGAGTTCCTGGAGGGGCTCACCTTGGTGGTGGGGCCAAACCCCCCATTTGAAAACAAAACTGCTTTGAACCTGGGGTGAACACCTGAACACAGCCCAGGGGCCAGGCAAGGAAGGGCCATAACCCCAGATTTGCTGGAGTAAACAAAGTTTAAGCAAGCTCAGTGCTTCAGATACAGCTTCTTACTGCCAGCAGCTTTCTGGGCCTTCAGCTTCACTGGAGGCATCAGATGGAAGAGGTGGCTTTGATTTTTGCCATCATTCTTCTTCCCGTGGAAACCTTTTCAATATTCCCCCTTGAAAAGTTGGCTGCCTCAAGTTAAAGCAACTATTTTTAAATGCAGCACATTCTGATAGAAGTTTGGGGGCTCCTTTGAGGTGCACTGGAAATACCTGCTTTCTCTCCTGGGGAATTGCAGTATCCTGCTGGAAGGAGGTTGTTTAAGGACTCCCAGTAGTGACTCTGAAGGAATTACAAGCAGTCACTGGGCTGTTGCAGCGGTGAGGTGGCCAAAAATGACCTGGCTCGCTTGTGTTTGGGAGGTGGGAGAACCTGCCACTCCCCACCCTGCCCTGGAGATCCAGAGGGATGTTTTGGAGGTCTCTGGTGGCTCAAACACCTCTTCAAGCCCTGGGGAGCTCCCTGGGACAACTGCTTGGAATAGCAGTGCCGGGATGGTCTGCGCTGTCTGTGAGTGAGGGCAGTGGGAGCCGGAGGGGGAATTCCACAAGGACTTCTTGGTTGGTCTGGTGTGAAAGAGGAACTCGTTCTGCCTGTGTGGGAAGGGCAAGCAGAGCCAGCAGTTTCTGGGGAAGGTCTCTGGGATATGTGTGTCCCACACAGCCCCTCTGGCTCCCTCCTGCCCTCCTGAGCTGGGCTCTGTCGATAGAGGAACTGAGTCACCCCCAGCTCGTCTGGGCTGCTGCTGCTGGGGCTGCTCCTCGTGTGTTGTTCTGCAGAGCAGCATTTTCCAGTCCTGGAGCCTTTCAGGGAACTCAGTGGGTTGGAAGCAGGAGAGGGGAGAGGGCTGTGGAGTGCTCTGCGTGTCTCTGATGCCGCAGGACAGTTCTGATGTGAGCTCTTCGGTCTGAATCAACTCCAGCCTGCTCGGTGTTGTTCTGCCTTTGGCTCCTGGGCTGGTGCAGAGCTGGGAGGAGGCACAGGCAGCTCAGTTTGTCTGAAAGGGGCTTAATTGCTCCTCCTGGCTTTGCTCTGTGCTGCAGTGCTGGTTGGCAGCAGGATTTCCTCCGAGAGCAGCTGCTTCTTGCAGGGACCAAATCCTGCTCAGTGCTGAGTTGCTTCCACCTTTTCCCTTTCCTCCTCTGCTCCTCAGAAACTGGAGCAGGATTGTGCTCAGCACACACCCCCCCAGACTCCAGTGGTTCTACTGTCCTGCATGGGATGGTTGGGGTGGGAAAACTGTGGTTGAGGGCAGATGGAACAGGGAATAATTCCTTTGGTGTGCAGAGAATGGACTTCCCTGCCCCACTGTTGTTGTTCCTCCACGTGAACGTGCTCGGGAACAGAGAAGGAGGAATACATTGCAAAGTTGCAGAGGAAGATGTGCAGAGGGCAGCTGGCTGGGCAAGGGGTGTTAATCCTCTCTAATGGGATAACAAATCCATTCTGGGGCTTAGTTTCTCCTGTCTTTTCCCCAGAGCACCACATGATTAATGGATTCATTAGCATTAATAGGTTATTTGCACCCTACCCATAGGCAAGTAACAGGGAAGTCAGGTTGACCCTTCCTGCACGTGGAGGTGGATGGACTTGGCAAAGAGAACTCATTTATTTTGTGGATATTGGGGATTCCCTCGTTCTGCATCACTTTTGTTTCTCATCCTTGCTCTTCTTCCTCCTTTCCCCTTTTTGGTTTTGCCAGAAAGGTCTTCAAGCAGCAGAGCTAAGGAAAGGTCTTCATTTTGCCATGTCTGCTGTCAGCTGATGTGTCCCTTCCCCTCTTCACTTGGAGCATCACATGGGTGTGGATCCTTCCCAGACAGCTGGGGAAGGATCTTGATGTGTCCCCTCCCTCTGTGTGACCAACTGGTGTCTGATCTTCCAGCAAACACTGTCCTGTGGAGCTCTTGGCCTGATCTTCAGCTCAGGTTTATGTGGCAGTGTCTCTGTGTGAGACCATTTGGTGGGAGGGGAAGGAAAGGCTTTCAGGCAGTCCTGGAGGAAAAACATCTTTGAAGTTGAAATCTCGGGCACAGAAACAGGGAGGATGATGTCACAGCTTTGTCTGGAGGTGTGGGGACACCTTGCAGTGGGAGAGGGATAGCTGGTGAATACAATCCAGCCAACAATGCCCAGTTCCTCCAGTGTGCTCCTCTTGCCTGTTCCTGAAGCTGGATGAACTTTCAACTCCCATCTCAAGTAATTCATCGATGGAAGAGAACCAAATTCCCCAGGAAAGTTGCTCAGGGCTAATTTCCCCTCAGCTCTGCCCTGCAGCAATTCTCTGCTTATCACTGAGTGACTCCTGCTTGACTCAAGGGTTTTGGGGAGCAGCTGTATGGAATAACACTGGTTTGGCACCAGTTAGAGCTGAATTTATTCAATAGATAGGTGCATTCAGAAGCAGATAAAAATAGAGCTGTCCTGTCCTGAAGAATTACCTGCTTATCTTCTCCCCACATCTTGCTTGGTCGGGTAATTTGTGTGTTGCCTTTCCCTTATCTCCCGATGATTATGGAGCATCTGAGATCCCTGCAGCTCTGAAAAGTGGATAAAGCAGTGGATAAAGTCAGCCCTAGGGCAATGCACCTTCCCATTTTGAGCAGTGCTTCAGCAGGGAGTGCTGCTGGCTCTCAGTAATGCTGAGCAAACAGCAGGGAAGGTCCTGGGCTCTGCCTGCTCGCTGATCTGGGGCAGCACTCGGGCAAAGGCACTTCCCTGCCATGCTGCAGTTACAGCACTTGCTTATCTGGGCTGTAACAGAGCCATAAACTTTATCCAAGCCAATTAAATCCGAGATGCAGGAGGCACACAGTTCCCATTAATGTGTTTTCCTTTTCTTATGGAAGTGCAGGAGGAATTCAGGGTGGCCTGGGGCTGGGTCTCTCCTTGTGGAAGTTCAGCTCCCTCATCACATACATGCTGAGGGGCAAATTTGTTGGAAAGCTGCTTTGCCATCAGCTGTTCTGAGCATCAGAAGAGTTACCTTAAAATCCTTACATACGAACCAAAACTTCCCTAGATTTTCGGGAAGCACTGCTGGGATTTTCTGTCTCTCGTTTCGTACTTTCAGCTGCCCTGTTTGCTTGGGGAAACTCAGGCTGATCTTTCAGTGGAGGATCACTGGTGCCTTACAGGATGGAAGAAGCTTTGTAGATGATTTTAGGGTATCTCACAGAATCCCAAGACATACTGGGCTGGAAGGGACCCACAGGGATCATCCAGTCCAACCCTCAGCCCTGCACAGAACCGTCCCCAAGAGTCACCCCCTGTGCCCCAGAGGATCATCCAAACCCTCCTGCAGCTCTGGCAGCCTTGGGGCTGTGCCCACTGCCCTGGGGAGCCTGTTCAGTGCCAACCACCCTCTGGGGGAAGAACCTTTCCCTGAGATCCACCCTGAGCCTGCCCTGACACAGCTCCAGCCATTCCCTGGGGGCTGTCCCTGGTCCCCCCAGAGCAGAGCTCAGTCCTGCCCCTCCTCTGCCCCTCCCAAGGGAGATGTCACCGCAGTGAGGTGTCCCCTCAGTCTCCTCCTTCTCCAGCTGAACACTCCAAGTGCCCTCAGAGTCCTCACACGGCTTTGTCTCATCTCGGACTTGCTGTCCCCAGTCTGGTGGGGCTGAGGGGCAAAGGAGAGAGAACCCACCCAAGCCAGGGACAGAAACCAGCACCTTTTGCTGCTGCTGAAACAAGGGATGGATCATTGCTTCTCATTTTTCTCTCTCTCCCCCCTCCAGGACCTACAACCTGACCTTCCTGCACCCCTACTACCGCACGGACGAGGCGGAGGAGAACCCCTTCATCTGCTCGTCGCACCGGGAGAACGGGATGCAGAAGTGCTCCAACATCCCAAACAGGAAGGAGTACAAGGTGGAGTGCACCTTGAGCATGGACTCCTACACCCCCAGTTTGTACCACCCCGACTCCAGCAGCAGGAATTCCTGCATAAACTGGAACCAGTATTACAACGTGTGCATGGCGGGGGACGTGAACCCGCACAACGGAGCTATCAATTTTGATAACATTGGATATGCCTGGATAGCTATTTTTCAGGTAGGATTCTCCCAGAGAACTTGGTTTGCTCTGTTTCTGTTGGGTCTGTCATCTTTTGCTTGGAGAGGTTTTGATGAAGGCGCCTGAGGAGAGAGGAATTTGTACCTGAGTGAAACTGGCGAGTAGAGACACGTGGAGAGAACGAATCAGGCAACGACTGCACAAATGGTGCGGTTTGGAGAGGATAACTTTTTCTTTTTTGTGCATTTTGAAAGAGGAGGAGAATAATTCTTGAGGCAGGACAAGGTAGGGCAAGTTCTAGCTCTGCAAACCAGCTAAATCCCAGGGATTTGGGGGAGTAGGGTCTTTGTTGCATCAGGAAACTGAGAGTGTTGTTGAAGTTCTTAAGCAGGATTTAATTTCCTTCTAAAATGCGTGAACCTGGTGACATGAGTTAGGCCTGATTCTAGACTTAGGGGATGATGCTACTGAGCATGGTGTGCTGGAAGGAGGAAAAGGCTGCTTTGGCCAGGACACCTGTGAGGAGATGCTGCTCACGTGGAATTTGAGCCTCTCTTGATCCACACCTTTCCAGCTCTTCACTGCAGACCAAAGTGCTCCTGGCTCAGACTGGGGGAGCCTTTACAGGTGGCAAAACACTGCAGCAACTGAAGTGTTCTCAAAGCATTTGTAGCTCTGGGAGATCATCCACACAGTCCAGAGCCTCTGGTCTCCTAGGGCTGCCCTATTTGAAACGATCCATCTATTATTTTCCATTTTTAATTGGCAGTTTCTGGTTTTAATACATTTCTCTGCTCTTGGCTAGATGCCCTGTTTTATTTAGCCCTCCTGAAGTGCAGGTGACATCTATTCCTAAAGGAGAAAAGAACTCTCCTTTTAGTTTTGTTAATGATGAATAATTACTCGTTCAGAGCTCCACATTTAATTTATGAATTTCCTTCCAGTTTCATATTACAGCATGAACTTTAATAGCTTCCAGTTTTCACCTGGGACTTGTAAAGCGGTGAGTGTTTGCTGTGAGCATCTTGTCTGCTCTCTGCTGTCACAGCAGCTCACCTTGAATCACACTGCTGGTGGTTCAGAGGCTTAGAACCAGATCCAGGAGGGCTCAGGCAGATCCCACCTCTCTGCGAGGCTGTTTGTGAAGATGTTTTTCCTGGAACTGGTGTGTCAGGAGAGGAGCTGCTGGCTGGTGGTGAGTGCTGGATAAAGGAAAGAGGGAAATCAAAGTAAATGGGACTCTGGCTGCTCTTGAATTCTGCTTTTCCTCCAGTTCTTTGCCAGAGCTGATGGCTGTGCCCAGGAGGTCCTGTCTGACTCCCACCATGGGCACCAATGTTCTTGCAGGGACAGGGCAGAGGACAATGGATTGTGCCAGGGCATTGAGGATGACCAGGAGCTTCCTTTTTACCTCCAGAGCCTTTTTTTTGCAGGCTGCAGGTTTTCATTTCACCTTGGGAGTTTATTTGCTCAGCCTGAAAGTGTTGAGCTTTAACTCGGGAAGAACAAACCAGCCCCGGGAGAGGTTTCAGCCGATTCCTTTGGGCAGAGCAGAGTGTCTGGCAAGGTTGGATATTGTATCCATAGATCATTTTGGCAGCTGCCAGGGGGTTTATGATTGGGTTTAGTGCTGCTTAGGCCATCCAAATGCTAGAGAGGATTTCCAGCCTAAAATTCTTGTGAAGTCTTTATTCCTTTTAGAACCAAGGGCTCATTTTCGGAAGCTGGGAGCGATACAAGTGCAGGTAAAAAGGCAGCTGTGGGGAGCAAGGTGCTTGCTTAACTGGGGGATGGAAAGAGTAAATCATGACAGCAGGAGGTGAGATGCTAAATCAAAACAATTGCTGTGAGCAGAGAACATTTAACAAATAAAGCTGTTGAGCTGTGCTCTCATTACATTTAATGGTTGAAGCTGGGGAGCACCAGGTCAGCAGCGAGATGAGGCCTCAAAGTAAGTAGTGCAGAAAGTACAACTGATGGGTTTAGTAGCTCGGGAGCTTCCCTGTGAATTGGTGTGGAGTTACTGGCAGAAAGCACTTGGATGAGACAGGCCCAATTGTCCTGATCCATTATTCTGCAGAATAATGAATCTGTGGTGCTTTGCAAGAGTTACAGCGTGGAGGGAGCCATCAGGTCTGGCAAACCTCCAGCGGGCATCGTGACAATCTGAGGATGCAGCTGGATGGAGCATCCCTCGTGATTTATCCCAAATGAGGTGGACATCTCGTTGGGTTGTTCAGCCTGGAAAAGTGATGGCTTCAGGGTGGCCTAATTGTGTTTTTCCAGTGTATGAAGGATCTACACAAAGATGGAGAGAGACTATTTACAAGGGCACGGAGTGACAGGACAAGGGGGGATGGCTTCAAACTGACAGAGGGCAGGGATAGATGGGAGATTGGGAAGGAATTACTCTCTGTGAGGGTGGGCAGGCCCTGGCACAGGATGCCCAGAGAAGCTGTGGCTGCCCCATCCCTGGAAGTGTCCAAGGCCAGGTTGGACAGGGCTTGGAGCAACCTGGGCTGGTGGGAGGTGTCCCTGCCCATGGCAGGGGGTGGAACAAGATGAGCTTTAATTCTGTGGTTCTAAGATCTAGTGTGGTTTAAGAGCTGGAAGATTCCAAGCACAGAGACTGCAGGTCATGCCCGGGGGTTTCCAAGGGCACAGGTTGATGTTGTTGAGATGACAAAGCAACCAAACCAAAAGCAGGTTTTTGACAGGGAAATCTGAAAGTCTCTACTCCAGAACACCCTGCAAATGGTGCTCTGAGCTTGCAGGAGGGCCAGGCTCTTTCAGCTGCCAGCACTGGGATTCCAGCAGCCAAGCTGAAAGCCATTTCCCTCCATGGAGGTGACCCTGAACTTGCAGGTGGCAGCAGGACACACTTGAACAGTGAAATGAGCTGTTGACCTTCCAAGTAGAAGAGTAAGCCAGAGGCACCAGACAGGAGGACAACCTGGAAGAAATCAAAATATCTGAAAGTGATAAAGGCAAGGGCTGCGTTGTCTGGGTGTTGGGAAGGACAATAATTCCTTATGTAATCCTGCAAATGATTCATGTCTTGGTTCCCCTCATTTGTTGTGTAATAAGCTAATTCGTGTATATATTTGTTACGAAGGCACGTTCAATGGCAAATTATGGGAACTAATTAGCTTATTACAGAATAAATGAAAGGAGATGGAACCTAAATTAACTGTGAGGTTTGGCATGATATTAAGATCCCTTTATTGCACATGAATTTCAGCCGCAGCAATATGAGCAGTAATTACAGGTACTGTTGTCACGCTCTGGATGATGAATTACCCACCTAACCAAGGTCCAATTTAATTGGAATTACTGACAGTCTCAATGGAGCCACCAAAGCCCTGCCACCTTCCCCACCAGCAGCCAGGCCTGAATGCAGAAATGTTGGCTTGGGGTTTGGGTTGGCTGAGTTTGGGAAGAGGAGGCGGTTTAAGCTACTTAGAAAACCACAGAACCATTGCTTGGATGGTTCTGTCTATGATTTGCAGAAAAGTAGGACCTGTACAAGCACTTTGCAATGCTTTTGGCAACACTATCTGGAGGAAGAACAACCATCAGCAAGGCAGAACCAAGGTGAGATGAAGGGAGCACGCTGTTCCTCTGGGTGTAGTTGGTGGGACTGAACCTCAAGAGCAAATGCGTCAGAAAAAATTACATGGACACTTCAGGAAATGTCTGTGTAATTCAGGAAATGTCCATCCAATACAAGAGAGATTTGTCTGGCAATTCAGAGGGGCTGTGGCCCTGCTGGTGCTGCTGAGTGACCTTTCCCGTGGCATCTTCTCCACGTGCCTTTCAGAAGCAATTGCATTTTCTAAAGGGCTTCCTTAATGAGGGACCCTCTTGGAATGAGTCCCTGGAAGCAACTCTCAGATCCAAGCTGCTGTTGTTCTGAGGAAAGTGTTGCCTCTCCGGGGTTTTGCTTAGGAAAGACGTCTCAGGGAACGAGTTAATCAAGTCATCCAAGGAACACATCTCCGGCCCCTCAGCGGAAAGCCTCGGTGAGGGGACTCTCCCAGGACACTCCCGCAGTGAGCAGCCCCCAATCCTGCTGTCAGGGAGAGGAAAAACCCTGGATCTGAGTGCAGGAGGGCTGAAGACAGCCCAGCAGGCGCACGATGTGATGCAAATGCCCCAAGGAAGGCAAAGCTGACTCGCCTTCCGAAGAAAGTCGCCTGGGAAAGAGCGGCGTTAAAGGAACTGAGGGAGCTCGGGGTGCTCTCAGGTGGAGAACTGCTCCTGGGCTCACCAGAGCTGTGAGGGTGGCACATCCACCGAGGGAGGGAGAACACCTTTGTGGTGGGAAAGCAGGGAATTGCTTCCACCCAGTTCCCCCTTCGTTCGTCCTCCAGCGGACACGTCCCTCCGGAGGCGGTGGCAGAGCGGGTGTGACAGCTGGTGGCAGTGACAGCGCGTGCTGCAGGCCACCTGCACGAAGAGCCCTCTTGTCTGCATGGGAAGGCAGCTCTTCTGTGCTCCAGCCTGTCAGGAAAGCCCCTGGGAGCTCGTGGAAGCTGTCTCAGCCCAGTCAAGGATCTGTTCGTTCTGACCCGGCGTTCTGTGCTGATGAGGAGCTCGTTTTGTCTCCGTGTTGCTGACTCTGCACCCCAGCCAGCTGGGCCAGCTGAGCAGGTACAGAGCTTGGGGGAGAGCTCAGCTTTGGAAAGACAAAGGCTCATTTGTCTCCTCTCACTGTCATGTGGTGCCCTGATCTGTTCCACAGCCATTGCCCACTGCGCGTTGTTTCGGCTGCTGTTCACGACTGAAATCCTTCCCTGAGGGTTTCTTTATCGCCTGGAAATCTTTCAGCTAAAACTCTAGGGGAAGGACACCTTCTGCTTGAGTTAAAGTAAAAATTGTGTGTTCTTCAGTGCACTTCTGCAGTGGCCAAACACAAGAATGAGCTCAGGGTGCCTCCTTGTCTGTGCTGTCACTCAGTCAAGAAAGGGTCTTGTCTGAGGAGATGGGAAGCACAGACCTCCAATCTGGGACCTACTGGCAGGGCAGAATTGGCAGGG